GTAATTATTTTTCATAATTCCGATATTTTATATTTTTTGAGTCATAAATGGAAATCACAAATTGGTCAACACAAAATATTTTTTGTTTGAGTCTTTTCTTATCATTATAAACTATATTTGGCAATATTAATGGTTTCTAGAAGTATTATTGTTTAGAGGAAATGATTAATCGATAAGTAATTATAAAGACTTCATACTTATTTAAACTAATTATTGAGATATAACTATCCAAGAAAGATATTTTATGAATAACTATAAAAGTGAGTGTATTAATTCATAGAGTTTTTATGTTTGTAGTAAGTAATAGAAGTGTAATAAATAATGCCCAAGAAACACAAATAAATGGTCAAGCTATTAAAATATAAAAATATAATGATAATTAACCGACTGAGAATTGGACACTCCCTTGCGACTCATGAATAGTTACTGGGAGAAAAAGAGGATCCAATATGAGAATGATCTGGAACTCTTATCACAATAAAACATATTCCAACAGAATGTATTAAGCACGAAAACCAACGTATAACAACTCTGAGCACCTATATGAATCATTAGGACTAGGAAATTTACCAAAGAGACCAAATTAGATAAAGAAATATAAATTATATTTGTAAATATATCTACAAATACATTATATATTACATATTTCTTATTTTAACTATAAATAGTAATATTAATTATATATTTTAACTAATGGCCTAAGATGCCGAAATTGTAATGTTAAAGGCATTATAATAAAAAATACGCGCAAGATATAATTATAAAATTATAATAGATTCTTGAAGAAGACAATAGATTTACGAGAAAATAATTAAATATTATTTGAAACAGGAAAATTAAATAAGCATTTAAAATTTTAATTTGCATTTAAACTTAACATAAAGTTTAAAGTTTATTTGCGATAATCAAACTTTGTAGCATTAACCAATTCATAAAAGTTTTGTGTTAATAACTATAAAATAATTTAAAACCATAAATACTGTATTTGGCAGTACATATTATTTCCAAAATTAATATTTAAATGATAACTTATTTACTAATTAAATAAAATCATTTACAATATAAAAACTGTAAAATTTAAAACTTTTTTAAAAGAAATTATGTTTTATTTATTTTGGTATTTAAATATACTTCTAAAAATTAATTATATATGTCTCCTCCGAGAAACAGAAAAACATGACTTTTTTTTTAATATATTATTTCAATGTCATTACCTAAAAACCAGTTAACCAATATTTTTTTTCGATTTTGTAAGTTAATTTGCACTATAGAAACGAAAAAAAATTGAATGATATAAAAACACCATGGGTCAAACTACTACTTGTATTTTAATGGTATAATTATATTAAATAATATATAAATAAAAATCAAATTACAGCCCTAAAAAAATGGTTTAAATAATTACAAATATTTATGAAAATAATAATTTTATATTTGAAATGTTATGAGAACCATTGTCACGTGTTGATAATGTTTTATTAAGAAATAATATTAGTGTGTAAAATTATTTTGGTATATATTATTTTGAATATATATAGGGTGTTCAGTAAATAAAGAAAAGGGTTTTTATTGTTCTCTATAGTAATAAATGACCTGTTTCTTACATTTTGAACATTCTGTATATTTTAATAATCAAGTAAATTATATTATTTCATAAGTTAGAAAAAAACAGACTAACTTAGTTATAGAATACTTAAAGAAAAATCATATTTATTAAGATTTGATTAAATAACTCATATCATTATCACAATGTTAAAGTACAAATTAACCTAAAATATGTTTTAAAGCATATTCATACATTTTATTAATTAAGTAATTACAATGTAATTAAATAATAATAGTTTCTCAAACGATTTATTTAAATTTTTTCTATAAGCTTTGGACGTTTACATTCTTTATTAAAATTCAATACAATATAATTTATTATTTTGTTTTTTACCAACATATTTAACAATATGTTATATTATACATCGTTCTAAAAATATTGTTAACATTTTATACCATATACAAAATTGGTACCATTTTAAATTAGGTGTTATGCTGAATCATTAATAAACTCTAATTTTAGGTAATTATATTTCTGAAAAAATGCATTATTTATTTATTTTAATGCTATATTTCTACTTAGGTAAACATGGTTAACTGTTCTAAATAGTAACTACTCATAATTACTTAAATAATATCTTAATATCTATGATTGTATTAAAATAAAAAACCAGCACCACACACGTTATCAAACGTGTCAAGATATTTAGTATGGTTATATCCAAAAATGAAGACAATTTTTTTTCTTAATTATTCTCATTAATTATTTTGATCCTCGTTAATTAATTATTATTATTTATGTCATGAAATTAAAATTTTTATTCTTCATATGCCATTGGTAGCTAAAACTTTTATTTTATTAAGGGTAGTCCCTTTCTTTTTAATATACTTATTGGATAACTAGCACTTAACTTTTTTATTATTTCTTTTAGTAAGAGGGGTAAATGGTAAATGGCTTATTAACTCCCTCCTTTTATATGACTATACAATTCAAATTAACATATAAGCATAAATAATTGAAAAAAAAAAATAGGAATAGAAAACTATAACAACACGAAAACTGTGAAATTTCAAACCAATATTACATTTTTTGTTTAACCTTAAGTGACGTGAGTTGAAAAAGTTAACTTGTTATTCAAAATGAAGCTATTTTAAATTAAACATTTTTAGGTGAATTCCCCCATTTACGGGGAATGAGGAAAATTTTTTTCAATTTTCGAGTATAATTTATTTAATTAGATACACTTTGTAATCTTTTGACGTATCGTCGAACAAAATTGATTCAGTGAAACTTGAGAAAAAGTAATGGCAAACACAATATATATATATATACATCTATGGTAAATTAATACCTTCTCAGTTCGCATCGAATCTAAAAACATTTTATATGATATTGATTCCCAATCAATATATTAATCACTCAGTTTCGTTTTTTTGTTTGAAAATTTATAAATTTTAAGTAAGTAAAATATTCGTATGTAAAGAAATATATGCTGTTTTTCACTGCAGTATATTTTTCAATAATTCATTTATTAAAACATATTTAGAATATATTTAATATATATTTTCAAATACTTACGAATAGTAAATTTTATTACTCATAAGTATTTAAAAAATATCTTTCTATAACTTGTGTCTCATTCTTGCAATTAGTATGATATTGCAAATATTATTGCTCATTTTTATAAAAAAATATATGTTTTTGCAGTAGATATGCAGCAGTATATTATTGCCAGCAATGCAAATCATATATTCAAATAAATTCATAATATATAACTTTGTTTGTAGCTTGTTGAATACAAATTCATAATTTGTGAGTTTTTTATTGTTCACTACAGCGGGTATGCCCTGAAGTTCTAAAAACCTATTATTATGTAAAAATACTGAAAACATACAATTATGTTTATCTAAATAGGCCAACAGATAGGTAAAAATATCTTATCTATTTTTTTAAAAAAAATTATTCAGAAAGCTTTTATTTTTATTTATACAGTTATATCTTATAATATAAAAGTATTTACAGTATTTGTAAATAAGTTATTTTGGCATGAATTATATAAATATTTTAAAATTCATAATTATTAAAATTTAATTTAAGTATTTAACACGGTGTGTGAATCTTATTGCAACTATTTTGTAAAACTATAAGTATTTATTTTTAAACTTAACATAATAAAAATTAGTTTACAGTAATAGTTATCAAAGATTTTAATTTAAAAAAAATTATAAGCGAACCATCTAATTAATTCATTGTTTAATTAATAAGCACTTAACGATAAACGAAATTTAATCTGATAGATTGAATGTACGGTCATCTTTTACTGACGTTACAGAATTGTTTATTTTATATAATGAAATTAGAAATTAAAAGAAATTTTAGAAAAGATGAAAGAATATCCACTTAGTGTTCACCATATATCTAAATTAAGTTTGTTTTTCCATAATAATTGTAATATTGGATCTAAGAAAAAACGCATTATTGAAAGATGTGATGTATATCAAAAATTAATATATTTATCATTTTTTAGTTAAAAGTTATTACATTCTTCTTCTTCTTCCTCGCCTTAATCCCAACTACTTGAGCGTTGGCCACCCCTTATCCTAAACTTCCACTTGATACGATCTCCTACATCATCTACGCTCACATCAGCCGTCCTCATATCGTATTTAATAACACCCCTACATCTCTTTATTGGTCTTCCTCTACGTCTTCTTCCTTCAACTTCATTTCTATAACTGTTCTTATAGCTTCCAAATCTTCTCTTCTCATAATATGACCAAACCATCAAAGTCTATTTTATCTCATCTTATCCACGATTGACGCTACACCTATACTCCATCTTATATGCTCATTCCTTATCTAGTCATTCCACTCATCCATCTAAGAATTCTTATCTCTTCTACACTCATCCTCTACTCTACTTTCTTATCAACCACCCAACTATAGTTAAAAGTTATTACATTACAAATATCATAACTTTTTATATAGACGTAGAAAAAATATTTGGTTATATGGATATATGCTTAAATAGTTTATAAAAATAGTCATGATATTTTTAAATGTTTATCAATTTATTTAAAATGTTTTCTTTATTGTAAAATATTCGTTACAGGGTAACTGAAAAATTCTGTTCACGGACTGGCACATTAAATTTCAATTTTTTATATTTCAAACGAAATCAGTTCCATTATACAGCGACCACAATAATCCCTAGCTAAAATAGCTCTAAATCCTGTCTGATATAGTAGGATTTTTTTACTACATTAACTAAGAGTTAAGCCACTTTTCAAGTATGGGCGTAACCGGCTTTAATCACTAAATTTGTTGTTTCACAAAATTAATGGAATTAATTATAATGAATAGCAAATGTAATTAAAAAAATATATCCATTATTGTTATTTTTAATTCTAAGTGATAAATATCTAAAAAAATAGCATAAAATAAAATGGCTTACCCGTATTGCATCTATTATGGAATGAGACAATCTATCGGGCCAGTACCATAATGTTAACGAAAGTGGTGCACTTATTAAGCAAACTAAAAAGTCAGCTACGCAAAGATTCAACAGCAGTAAGTTACTGGATACTTTTTGGCTAAACGATAGACCAAGGAAGACAAAAAGATTAGCAGCAGGCCCAATGAAAACAATCATAGCCACATTAACAGTCATTGTTGTTGTTATCAGGGTCTCGTAATCATCTTCTGAAAAAAAAAAAAAGAAACAAAGTTGCTGTTACTATTACAAATATGAAGTTTAAACAATAATAAAAATATTACATTAATGTTTAAAAGTTTACTAAAAAGAGGTTCAACTTGGATAAAAAACGTAAAGTTCTTGTCTAATTGTTTATCACTTTCAACGTTTTTTACGTATTTGAAATACTACATCAATAAAAACTTTAGAATTCAAATTTTTTAAAATTACAACTTTTGTTGTCTGTACAGTCTATTAAGATTGAGTTTAACTCGGAAATCATAATAGTGAATTGTAAATAAAACAAATATGAATTGCAAATTTTATTATTATTAATTAGATAGATACTTAGTGATTATACACAAATATATGAGAAGAATGAACATACGTGACAACAATATGCGATGAAAAATCGACCACATAGTAAACTTCTAATAAGTTATGAGATCTTGTCAATCAACAAATGAAATAAATGTGTTTTCATAATGAGTTAATGAGTATTACTTATTATTTTGTAATTTACACATGGAAAAAAAATATGCAATTAAGATAGTTGGATAACTAATTACTCGATTGATCCAAACATTTATTTAGTTATTCCAACTGTACTTATACTTGTCATTATATTAAAATAGATATATTCTCTTATTTTTTTTAAGTTGCAATGATTAATATTTATTTATTTTTTACATCAGCATATTTGGTCATTATCATAGAAAAAACGCATGGAAGCTAAAGTAGTTAAGAGTAGTTTAAAAACTTTTTTAATACGTTTCAATTTATTTAATTTGACCAATTCACTGTCAGTCGTTACGACCGATTCACCTCAATTACTTAAATGCATGACGTGGACCAGATGTCGGTGGGCTAGTCAAGGGAACTTTAAGATTGATCCGTTTCAAAATAATCACGTTTCTTAATACCACCACAAAGTATTCGCTTAGTTTTTTTATAATCTTTTTTAATCAGTTTGGTTTAAGATATTAATGGGTTTCGCGTTATTGTTACAAAATATTATTAATTAAGATATTTCAAACGCCAAATTACTATAGGTGCAGTTTATGTTGATATATATATATATATATATATATATATATATATATATACGTCGTTGTAATCTATATAGACTTCTTATTCACAAATTAGAACATATATTGTTATGAACAATAAGCATAACAATCAAGGTATTTTCTTTGTAAGATTACATATAGAATAAAATGTACGACTAATGTGTCGTATGACCCTAGTTTTTCTCAACTAACTTTGTAACTTATTATCTAAATTAAGAAGGTATGATCTGGTTTAAAACAAAATAGTGCTCATTAAATAATTTTTAAAATAATTAGATTTAAATAGACTGTTTAGTGTATAGGGTATTCAGTAAGTAAGTAAACGGGTTTCTAATATTTTCATTGATTATAACAATTAACCTGTTTCCTTACTTACTGAACACTATATATAACGAGTGATGGAAAAATAACATATTTTATTTTTCAGTTGTATAATATAAAAAAATATTAGGACTTTTATGATTAAATTTTATTGTAAAAACATTTATGTTGAAACAATTATACTAAATAAATAAAAAAAAAAATTCTTAATAACAAATGAATCACGATCATTTAAGAAACAACAGATCAAAAAATATTATTTATAAAAAAATTATTTAAAACTCTAATGAAAACTGTATAAAACAATAAATACAATTTCAAATTTTTTTTATTCACCAAATTTTATTGATAGAAATAAACCTTTTAGACTTTATCAAGTCATAAATTTGAAAAACATAATGATGGACTTGTCCATCATATTATTTTATTTTTTTTGCTTCTAGTATAAAATAATAATTTTAATTAGAAAAATTCAGTTATTTTATAATATTCGAATTTTTTTTTGTTAATAGTTTGAAAAATTTTTAAGGTAGGGCCTTAAGGACTAAGTTGCCCAAATATGAAATGAGCTTCCCAAAAAATATTGAAATATAATCTTAATGTAAGGTAATAGCCTCGCAGATGAAGCTTAACATAATAATAATAAATTATTATAAATACACTAGTAATTGGCGTAACCAGAGATCCACAAAACAAATGTTCCCAAATTACCGCAATATTTTTTTTCAAAATAAATTGATGAATAAAAAACATCTCTAAAATATAGGTTTGTTGAAATTTTTTCAACTATGTAATTTTCTCTTAAATCACATTCAAGTGAAATCCCTTTTACTTTCTCAAAAATCCTGGCTACGTCACTGACTAAAGTCAATTACACAATTAAATCATCAATTTAAAGATGACAAGTTCATTTTTTTAAATAAGAAGAAAACTTGTCTCGAATATATTATATTTCTGTAGTAAAATGTAAATTTTATACGTTATATATTTGATTTTTGGATTATCGAATTTGACTTCATTTTACAATTAAATATTTATTTACAACTTTCTAAACAAAATGATGAAAACAGATATATTCATTTTTAGCAGTAACAAAATTTTTAAAAATTACACATTTTCTTTAATTTTTTAAACAGTAATATAGAAATTATAAGTACAATACACATCTAAATCTTTCATTAATTGATAACTCATAAAATTGCATATAAAACATTTAATAATTTTGATCGATAATGTATAATAGAATACTTATAATTTATAATACAGTATATAATATACGCAAAGTGATTTTTTAAATGCTAACCACTAATATTTTTATTAAATAACAACAGTTATGAGAATATTTTTTATTTAATTATGAAAATGACAATCTATAATAATTTTTGACCTATTATTCCAAAAGTTATTACGATTCTATAGTTTGATTGGGGGATGAGACATAAATATGACAATTTTCTTTCATGTTCTTCCCTCCTTCTAAGTATAGAAATATTCATAACTTCCGAAATATTATTATAAACATTTCTATTTAATATTAAATTCTATGATTAGTTTAAAAAAAATGTTATAATTATACAGCTGATTTTTTTTAATCTTTTAATTTTGTTAAGAATTAAAAATGCACAATAATAAAAACATAACATTCAAGTAAAAATATTTTTGATAATGCGATAAATAATTATTGATAACTATGTATTAATGAGTTACTTTAATAAAATATCAAAGATAATAAAAATTTGATTATAATTTTTAGTTAAAGTAAATTATATTAATATAAATTGTTTCCTTTAATTATTTTTGACTAAGGAATTATCTAGAAAATGGAGCAAAAGTCTTGAACTTCAATATACGAGCATTGAATATATTCATAGAACTATTATTTACCCCCAATTAATTTTTATTTGTTCAGAATACTATCTTGAAAAATGATCTATAAAGATTCACAATAACATATTTTTTTAAATTACTTATAATATTTCTACTTTTATACATCTACGAGCTCAAAACAAGCTTCAATAATTTCTCTTTTGTTTGTAAAGACACTTCAAAATACAACATTAATTTTTTTTAGTGAAAATATAATTTATAACTTAATTATTATAGTAATCAGGACGAATATTTAATTAACCTTAAGTTTAATTTATATTTTTATACATAAAAAATGAAGGGTATGAAATTAAACACTGAAATCTCCAATAAGAATATTAATCTATTGATTTCCTTACATTTATAATTACTGTCATATAATTTTATTAGAACTTTTACTTCATTGTGGTGTATTTAATCACCATAAAAGTAACTTTTTATAGTTTCCACTATTATACCATTTTCCTATTGATCTAAAATCAATAATAGTTAATAATTATTAACTATAACATGTATATTAGTGAATGTACAAGGTGGTTCTTTTAACAATAGCCACTCGATTGTCTTAAATTAATGATTATGTTAAGAAAATTCTATTGGGTATTCTTTAGTTTCATATATTTCTCCATTTATTAATTATTTATATTTTTTCTATAATTTTACCCAATATTTACCAGAAAAATTGATCAGCATTAAAAAAATCATACTGTATACTCTATATTTATATCATAATAATTTAATTATACCTAACAAATGTTTCATATATTAAAAAGTATTTTTTTATCAAGTGAAATTATTTTAAAATCTCCATAAATATTTTTAAATGTAATAGACTTAAAATTATTTATATTAATTGTGTCAAGTAATTGAATGTTAAAATTATAGTTAAGTCAGTATTTTTTGCTTGTGGATCTGAAGATACGTATTAGCACCAACGTCATACACTTTTAATAGCAATAAATGGATATTAAGAAGGCTATTGGACCTTTAACTCCTCTTAGCTAAACCTTTGTACTAAAATAATAACTATCTTTTCAAATGCACGAATGATAATTATTTGTATTTATGTATGATATTATAGTAACTTGCATAAAATATTAATTTAGTACTTACTACGACAATTATGTTAGTCAATAAATATTTAGTAGCATATTTATATTCTATGTTACATGTAATTTTTATCGTTAAAATCAATCACGTTAGCACTAATCACGCAATTAAAAGCAAGTCCAAAAATATCCAAGTATGTTTTTAACTACCAGACCAATTATTACAAAAATTAACACTCAGAAGCAATAAGTAATTTTCATTGTTTCTTTAGTTAGAACTCTAAAAAAAATTATATTAAAACTAAAATTATTGCTGAATGATATAATGAAATCTATGCATAATTACAATAACTTGATAAAATTTACAATTTTATGTCACAATACGTAATTTGTATGGAAATTTCACTCACTTTTGTTTTTATTAACTGAAGTAGCATATTTACAAGGTGAAGTTAAAAAATTACCTGGATCTTCCTCTATATTAAATTTTTAATTATACTACTGATTAACTATATTTGAATGACAAATACATTAATTTTCCAAATAGTAAAATTATTAATGTTAACTTCAGTGCTATATGAGAAGGTTTTTTGCTGTATTATATTGATTTACAGTTCATAATGTTTTAATAGTAACATATTCAAATGTATTGCAATTTTTTTTGTATCAAAATTTTTTCGTACGAATCTTAAAATTTCTGAT